TTTTCACGTAAGAACAGAAGTTGGAATTTGGGAAAATAGAGCTCTGAAGAACGGAGAACGAAGAACATCGCTCAAGAACTCAAAGCTGCTAATTGATAAGGTAAGGGGGGTTTATACTCGATTTATATTTGTTTATGGGTTTATGTACGGTTGATTCGGGTAATCGTAGGAAATCCCAATTGTTAGATGTTTCTAGGGATCGATAACCTTAGGATTGAACTTTGTTAGAAAAGGTTTAAGTTCCCGATTTTATGAATCAATTAGAGACTTTAGGTTCCTATGATGGATTGGATGTCTTTGTACTATATTGCACCGCCGTAGAGAGGTATTTTCGTGAAAAAAAATGGGTATATGAGCTGCTGCAAAAACAGAAAAATTGGGTTCGCACTCATCAACACGGGCGCGTTGATTTACGCGGGCACCCGTGTTGATTCACTGTAATGCTGATGAAAAAGTGTTTTCTGGCCATAATTCAACACGGGCGTGTTGATTAACACGGGCGCCCGTGTTGATTCACTGTGTTGGCATAAAAATGGGTTTTCTGGGCACAATTCAACACGGGCCGTGTTGATTTACACGGGCGCCCGTGTTGATCCCCTGTTTTGTCAAAAAAAACGTGTTTTCTGGACACATTTCCACACGGGCAGTGTTGTTTTACACGGGCACCCGTGTTAAACCTCCTGTGTTGGTTTTTAAACTATGTTTTCCGTGCATGTTGTTAAGTACGGATTGATCCGGTTTTGATGAGCAGTGTTTGACATGTTTTGAATATGTGTTTATTGAATTCCTAGTGTTGATTGATGTGTGTATCGAATAACGATTGTATGTTATGATACCAACACTATGTGGATCTTATTGTCATGCTTTTAGATGATGTTATCAAGCATGAATTATGATATAACTTGATATGATTGATGTTTAATAGTATGCTGAGTGGTTACATGTTATTCCTATCATGTTATGTTTGATATTGTTGATGTGCATGATATGTTGATTGATGTTCATAGTATGCTGAGTGTTACATACTTACATATCATGTTGCATTTGTTAATTCCCATTGTGTGGAATTAACATGGTGGCCAATATACGTGTCCGCGATATAATGGAACGTTGAGGTGGTAGCCGTGTCCGCGATATAATGGAACGGTGAGTTATCCGTGACCCGCGATTTAATGGGGCGGTGAAGTGGTACCACATGCATGGGTGTGTTGCATTACTCGAATATAACATGAATGGATGATTTTTCCAATGTTATATTTGATTGTTTGTATGCACGTATGATTGATAAATGGTTGATGATGTTTGATGAATATTTGCAAATATGAAAGGCAATATGTCATGGATATATGAATTGTAAAGGTTTTGTAAACTATGAAATATGCTAATTATTGGGTGATGCTTATGATTTCGTGAATTGATTGTTATGAATGTATAACCAAATGTATATTTGAGAAGCTCACCCTTACTGTTGAATATTTCAGATTGAGGAGCTTCGCTCAGGTGCTTGGCGAAGGCTTATCGTGTCTAGTTTAGTTTCGTTTTAGTATGTCCGGGTCATGCTCTGATAGTTGTAACTCCGGGAACGTTTGGTTGTCGAGCTGCTTTAGTCAGACTCGTTTATTTTCTTTTAATTGTTATAATATGACGTTGACTTTTCCAGGTGTTAATCCCTGATGATTTTGGAAAATATTATAACATTTGATTTTATTAAATAAATTATTCCGCTGTGTAGACATGTATGAGTTACCACTAAAATTATGCATGACAGGAATTTATTTTATTAAAAGAGAATTGTAGCATTCCTCGATTATTACATGTACTCTGAGTTTATAGTTTTTAATATTTGTGAAAATTATATGCGGGGTTTTAGAGGGTGTTACAGTTGGGACCCCGAGCCCTCAAGTCTCGGGCCCTGTTGGCAGCTTCCCTCTCCTCGTAGTCCATATATGCCCGGGCCTTATCGAGGAGGGCATCAAAAGTCGGAGGTGGCTCAATACCCACAGCCTTTCTGAATTCTGTGCCGGGGAGGAGACCCCTCTCCAGCAAGTATCTTTTCATATGGTCCGCGCAGGGGACCTGTATTGCTTCTCGGTTGAAGCGGTTGATGAACTCCCTCAAGGTTTCATCCTGTCTTTGGATGATGGCCTCGAGGGCCGCCTCGGTCTTCGGATGGCGCCGAGAAGCTGTGAAGGAACTGATGAACTGGTTCTTCAGGTTCCGCCACGACGTGATTGAGCCCGGGGCGAGTCCTTTATACCAGTCCATGGCCGCCTTCCTGAGAGTCGTGGGGAAAAGACGACACTTGATGGGCCCCCCGACATTATGATAGTGGAGCATGGCTTCGAACCCGTCAATGTGGTCGACCGGGTCCGCAACTCCGTCATACTCCTTCAGATGTGGGGGCTTCTCCATGCCCGGGGGGATGGGTGCATCCATGATGGCCTGCGACAGGGGACCGCGGGGGTCGTCCTCGTCGCTCCTCTCCGGAGAAAGAGATGGGGACTTGTAGTATTGTCTGGCACGGTGGTCGTGCTGAGTTTCCCTCGAGCGTGATGCTCGATGGTTGAATGTCACACGCCCGTCCCCGGCGTTCCTCTTGTCGTGCCTTGACGGGTCGCGATTGGGTTCTCCGGCAGGGATGGCGGGCTGTCTCTCATAGTAGGGCCGCCTCTACTTTGGCCGGGGAGAGGGGCTTCTGGAGTTCTCCTTGTAGTGTCTCCGTGGGGGAGAAGGGTGTCGAACTTCTGTGACCCGAGGAGGTGGAGAATGTGGCCTCCGATGCCTCCTCGGGGGTCGTCGATCATCTTCAAGTGCCCTTAGTCTTTCTCCTTGGGCGAAGATGAGATAGTTTGTCTGATTAATGGCCGCGAACAGTGCCTGAGTCGTGGCATCTGCCCCGGCGGGAACTGGGACTTCGTGGAACCGGGCAGCTCTGTAATGAGCGAGAGCTACCGGGTCGTCTTCAAGTGGTGGTGGGATCGGGGAGGATGATGCAGTAGCCCCGTCCCTGTAGGAGGAAGTTCCAGGGGCGGTCGTCACAGGAATGGTACTGTGGTCGGGATCACCGGGGTTATCGAGGTGTCCATTCTTGTCCGCGGTGCCATTATTAGTGTCGGCGACACGGACGTGCTGCTCGTCGCGAGCTGGATCAGCCATGACAGGTTGGTAGTTGAGTTTTGAGCTTTGGTCTTTTAAGTTGTTCGTAAGACGGGGAAGCTAGATTCCCACAGACGGCGCCACTGATCTGACCTGATCAGAAATGGACCGTCACGGCTGGCTCCGAGCTGGAAGCTTTTTGAACGAGGTGGGGGGGGGTACCTGCAAGACACTCTGATGCTGAAGTAAGTAGGAGTACGAGCAGATAATAGCAAGTGTATGGTTAGAATGATGAATACCTGACCCTCTGGAAACAGAGGGTATTTATAGCCCCCAGCGCTGGGCCAAGGTTCCTTCATTGGGCCGGGCAGGTTTGGCCCAATGGAGGAACTGTCAGGTTCTACGTGCGTAGTGGGGACCCGCACGTGGTCCCCTTCCTGGATGTTCTGCGTGAAGTGCGGGCGGACGGAGACGCGGTCTTTTCGGGGTATCGTTGGGGGAACAGTGGACTGAGTCTGCCCTAGTTGGGGAGCTCGAGGTAATGTCGAGCTGGACATCAGGATGTGGAGCTGGACCGCAGTGTGTCGAGCTGGAGGTGTAGCTGTCGAGCATGCGACTACCCGTCGGGCACGGTCGTGACTCTTTGGTCAGCGTGGTCCTTAGTAAGTCCATTTGGACTGGGTCTTAACAATGCTTTTGGGCCTGTCGGGCCCAGTCCAGAACAATTTCTATCCCTCTTTTTAATTTCCACCAACATATTCACTAATACTCCATTTCTCATATATTCACCAAATAATAATAAAAATATATTTAAATCACTCAAAGAATAAAATAAAAATACAATTAAATTTAATTAAATAATTTAATTAAATTCAAAATATTACAGAGGATGCCATTATAAGAGACAAGTTAAATTATCGTATTTTATTAATTTTATGAAAAAACACTTATTTAGATCAATTGTTAAGAAAAGAACCAACTTCATCCATTATACTAAAGGTGTATATGAGTCGGTTTGGGTTGAATTTAACCAAAACCATAACTCAATTCATATAGAGTATATTTATTTGGGTGAAGTAAAATAACCACCCATTAAATTATTGAATCAGTTTGAGTAAAATCACAAATTTGTGAATTAAATTGGATTGGATAATGGATTATTCAATTTTTTTTTCTTCCTTGTATATTATAAATGATGTATCATATTTTTTATTAATAAATAGTTTAACATATTTCTGCTATTTTTTAAAACATCAAAAATTTTAAATGCACAATAAAATTCATTAGAGTAATACCTACTGATAATTATATAAAATATTTACATCTTATCGAAATTAACATCAAAATAATTAAAATATAACATCCTAAATATATTAAAATCACTGTTTATAAAATAAAAGATATTAAAAAGGTTGTATTTGAAGTAGGGCTCGACAAAATTCATCCGTCCACTTGAAACCGTTTGAACCGAACTCTATTTTATACTAATGGTTGGATTGGATCGGATACCAAAAGGGTTGGATACTTAATTTGGACAAAATCTTGATGAAGTGATTTGAGACTACAGTTGATAAAATTAATGCAAAAGGTTAGTTTTTTCTCATTTTAATTTTTTAAAGGTTTGTGTTTTATGAATCAAAAGTTTTATTGGATTTGTTATGTTAGGTTTATCCCATCAATGTACACCCCTACGTTATACTAGTGTGGAATGCCTTGTTTGTCAACACTAGTCCGACAAAAATGAACCGTACTGATTGAAATCAAATATCAATTGAATAAAGGTGGCGCGCGCATCGATAACACTATACACTTTCACTCTCCTACGCGTGCTTCTTACACACTCTCCGTCCTTTCTCCTTTCCTCCACACAAACAAGCTTTCAAGAATTCTACATTTTGAGCGCAATGTCCACGCCAACCCCGGAAGCCGTCGCAACCTTCATGCGAATCACCGGAGCTACGGAGTTCGTCGCCGTTCAGAAATTAGAGGTTATCTCATATCTCAACTTCTTATCTTCTACTTCACATTCATGCTCTTCAATTTTCTGATCTGACCTTTTAGACGAAAATCATCACCACCTTACTTTTTATATTAGAATATTGATTACAATTTGCATTAATAGATGTAACATAATTAAAAATAGTTATAAAGAAATTATTATTATTAATATAATTAAATATTTGAAAGTGATTTTATGAAAAGAAACACAAAATATAATTCAAGATGGATCCATTCACGCTGAAGGCAAAGGTAAGCAACGTACCAACAAACAAAAACAATTATTTCTCAATCATATAATATATGGCCTGAACATGCACTTATAAGTGAGGGCAATCCTCATCCTATAAGCCGATTTTATAGGGTTGAGTTAGGCCTAACTCACACATTCTAAGATGATATCAGAGCCTCATCTAAGATCTATCGGGCCACCCACCATTTAGTTCCAGACTCCAGACGCAATTCTTGAGAGGGGGTGTTAAGAGTCCCACAACGGATAATATATGGCCTGAACATGTGTTTATAAGTGAGGGGTTTTATAGGGTTGAGTTAGGCCTAATTCACACATTCTAAGAGTTTTCAAACTTTTGCCTGCAGGAATATGGAGGCAATCTAAACGAAGCTGTGAATGCGCATTTTATTGAAGGAGACAGGCTCATGTATGGCAATGTGGTTCATACAAGAATTTCTTTTATTTCCTTTCATATCTTCCTCTCATCTTTTGTTAATGCCTTTTTATTTCTTGTGACTAAATTATCTAGTCAGGAGCAAGATCCTGCTGCTACTGCAACTCCACACTATAATTACTATGAAGCAAATAATCAAAACAACCAAAACCGTGCCGGATCACGTGGAATTATGCCTCTGTTGAACGCTGCTAGAAGATTTAGACCTTCACTACTGCTTGACTCAAACTATAGGAGAGAACTTAGAGACCTATGTAATGGGCTGGGTACTACTACGCTTTCGAGTAGTGCATCACCACGTGGTTCTCCTCATGGACAGGTGATGGGAGTTCCCACAGGGATCAATAGTGCACATGCGTCGCCTTATCAACCAGGATTGAGCTACGAAGGTGCATATACGAATGGAAATTTATCGTCTCATAGTCAGGGATATTACGGAACAAATCATTATCCGAATGACTACCCTTTAGCTCAGTCAAATGCTTCAAATGTTCGTGATCAAGATCCAGAGGAGGCAATGATTCAAGCTGCAATAGAAGCCTCAAAGAAGGAGAGCAGAGAGCGCTCTTCATCGAATGCTCCTAATGTAACAACATAGCATAAAGCTTAACCATATTTTTTTCACTTTTATTTTCTAGGTTTTCACCTGTTTGTAGAAAAATATTATTTCAGGATTTGTCCGACAATAGGCTTCCACAAAGTAATTTTCAACCCGAAGATGATGATTTGGCTAATGTTATTTCCCTGTCCTTACAGGTTTTAGAATTTTGTTATTGTTCCTATCCTATAACTCAATTTGTTGTACTGTCCTCATGTTTCTTTCTGATTCTTCCAAATGCGTTGAATTTAGACTGCAGAGCAAGAGGAAGCAATACGCGAGCTTCGCGTGAAAGAGCTTCATGCTTTATTAGCCGAGGGAGAGAAAACCAACACCAGCAGAATCAGACCAGAGGTCGGAAAAGTATATTTCATAAACTTGATGCAATTTTTCATATACACACGCAAGACCCGTGTGTATTTATCACTTCTGTCCTTATTTTTCAATGTAGTGGGGTGATATTTCTTCCGACGAGCTCAATGAAGCATTGCTGATTGAAACTGCATTTTTTAGTGAAACTCCCAATCACAGTTCTCACAAATTTTCATCTTTGCCTGACCTGCAACATGATTCAGAAAAACAAGCAAATCCCAAGAGGCAGTGTTCATCGAGTTCAGCATCTCAATTATTATCTGAGACTCAGTTGCTAAGAAAACAACAGGTTCAGATTCTAGCCTGCAGTAACTGTATGATCAATGTCCATGAAAGCATAACATAGTATGTTGACTTTTTTATGCAGGATGCTGACTATTTAGCATCACTACTAGTTGATAGACAAAAGGATTTGAATTCTCTCGAAAAAGCTGAAACCCATTCTTCAAAGGAAGAAGAATCACACAAAAAGATGCTTGAAAGAACGGTAATACATTTTCTGAGTTTTTAACTTTCCCCACTGTTAGTTGAGCTATGCAAAATGAAAATTTCTTTCCAATTGGTTATAGAATAGTACTGAATGCTGTTTACCTCTTTGCAGGAATTGGAGAAAATACTTGATACAAAAAGTATTATGCTTGCAAATGAACCACCATTAGGTGATGAAAAAGCAATTACTTAGTTGGTCATTGTGAACGACGCTTCTTCAAAACCGACAAGCTTCAGGTAAGTTAAGATGATTTCTTTGTTGGTTCTTCATTATCTTGACCAACTAATGCTTTCTTCAGCTGTGAGATATGAAGCTGAAACAGGAAGGGAAATCAAAACAATTTTTTTTTTCTCTGTCCCTTAAGTTCGGATTCTTGTTATTGCTAACGATTTGTTATTTTTCTATCTTGTAGCTTCTTTTTGATTTCACATTTATGGAGCAGTGAAGCCTGGCACCTATAGAGTTGTGAGTGTTTCTTGTCCTATCCAATTGATTTATCGATTAAACCTTTATGTTATTTCACTATGACATGGCGCTGCCAAAGGTGTTGTCCAGTAGTGGCATAATCTGTTATCAAGTGTTTTTTTTTCTCATACAATTGTATATCATTTTGGTATCTTGGAGACTATTATCTTGGTTGTTGATTATATTTGTCTAGCGTTATCTCTATTTGACTGAGATGCATAGTTGATTGACAATCGCTGCTTGTCTATTTGAACAGGTAAAATCATATCCGCAGCGTGCATATAATATTAATAATAGTTCTGCCACCTTGAATGAAGTAGGCCTTAACAACAAGAATGAGGCTTTATTTCTGGAGTTGAAGAATGAGGCTTTATTTCTGGAGTTGATTTAGTTGATTTAGTGTTCCTATTTTCTATTATGTATCCTATAATTAGAACCCGGAACAGATGATATTTGTTGAACACAACAGGGCCGTTGTTGTTGTCCTTGTCTGTACAGATCTCACTACTTGTCAGTTATTATATTTGAGTTTGAAAGAATGGGCTGTTTGTCAAACATACTTTACCATTTAATCGGGCTTTATTTTTAATTTATTTCTTTGTGCACGATTAATCACAATTTGGAGCGATCAGAGTCCAGTTTCCAGTAGCTTTTAGCTTATGGGAACTTTTAAAAATGACTGATAAGCCTCTCAATGTTAAGGAGCCATAGTTTAATGAACAACTTTCACTTATAAGCACCGTTAGCAAAATTTGAGCTATGAAAGAATTGAATTCCTACGATAATTTTAATATGAGCAAACTAGTTATTGTTCTGCTTGTGGAGCTGTCCAGTATTGCTTGACTGCTACTAGTATCTTTTCTCTTTCATAAGGTCCTTCTTCATGGTCTGTAATTCTCGCATCCCACTGCATTTCATCTGCAATGCTCTTCACCTTTGTCAACACGTCGACATCGTCACGCAAAATTACACCACCTTGTGGCCGCAAAATCCGGTCCATCTCTAGAAGAATGTTCTCCATACTACATCTGTGACACATTAATTTGATAAATATGTAGTATATGTTATTTTCGTAAGCTTTCCAAAATACTTCTGCAAATGCTTATGTTAGAAGTTCATCTAATTGATTCCTATCATTACCTGTTCTGGTAGAGGCTAAAAACTGAATCACCATGTATGAAGTCGTAAGTTCGAGGATAAGTGGACATGGCTTCACACCTACCAGAAGACAAAAGTAGTAAGTAATCATTTCTTATTCCCACATGCTTAGACAAATGTTTTCCTTAAATTTTACTTTTCATGATACTATATTAGACAATAGAATCTGTGAAACAGTAGTAGACAAAAATAAAGGTAGAAACTTTATGTGTAACAGATAATGTTGCAATCATTGAACTACTTTTTTTCTCCATAAAGCAGCTATTATTAGTGTTAGGTCGATGACTATATAAAAAGTTAAAGATATAGATACCAATTTTGATAGGTTCCAATGAGTCCACGTTCATATATGACACCAAGGGTGTTGATTTCAGCTTCAACAGGAACAATGTTCATGACCCACACAGGATCATCAACTAGTGCAGCTGCAAAGCCTCCCATGTGAGAATTCATATCAAGAATATTTCTATATCTTCCATGTTCTGCTAGCTGAGGGTCCAGTGTCTTGTAGTGTGACACTCTCTTTTTCCATAACATAGTATTTTCTTCGAATATCTCTGATGTTATTCCTTTCAAACTTTCACTACTAATCCTCGGAGGAATTGAAGTTAGTCTCGTTGGCCACTTTGATAATTCACCACCAGCAACTTCTTTGACGTTGTCTACCTCTGGCAGTGGGGTCAAACAGGTATCTAGTTTTGTGTACCTACATTAAACACATTTTCAGGTCATATTAGTAGGCCGAATATGAAAGATAGGCTAAAGTTGCTAGGTAGTCGGTACTTTTTGTATCTGGTTTCTTTTGATCTAGGATTGTTGTTCTAACGCTGCTATACTCCTTTTGGCAGTAAGAATGAGTATATAACTAAACTTTTTCTCAATGCCTTGTTCAGAAAGTTACAGAATCTCATAACTATCGGCCAAACATGTTAGTCTAACTAATTGTCCTACCAATGATTTTAATTGATGAATAGTAAAACTGAAAGAAAAGAAAAGTCTTATTACCAAGCCATGTCTGGATTCTGTGCCTCATCACAGAAGGGTCTAGTCTTGAAGATTTTCCTTTTAATTTTGCAATGCATATGATTAGTAGGCTTCTGCCATATAGCAAGATCACCTTTTTGTACCAATTTTTTCCAGCATAAACTTTTCGCCACATTCTCAATTGCTTCTTGTTCATCATTGAGACTCTCCTTAGTCCTTTCCCATCCTTTCCAGTGTCTCTCCCAGTTTATCGGCGGCCCCGAGAGAATCCAATATCCACCCGGACGCAGTACTCTATCAACTTCAGTCAAGTATATTCCATCTGTCAATAAGCATCGCCAAAACAAAAACTAATTTAGTATATCGCATTCACACACCAACTAGACGCTTAAAAACACGAACATGGTTTCTTGTTTCGAATTATATTAGAGTTGTGAAAGTAAATAAGCAATGTACCATATTGGCCCCAAGGAATGAGGCACCTTGAGCAGTGAGCCATATCAAAGGCTCTTGAAGGATAAGGAAGTCTGATTGAAGCAAGAATTCCAATCAATGCAGGAACACCTCTTTCAAGAGCAAATAGAACCTGCCCTTCATGAGTATCTCTTGGTGCAAATGACACTGTCAATATGTCACGTGACAGAAGATAAGCTCCCCAACTTGCAACCTGATATTGTAATAAATTGCAACTTGTCATTCAAAATAACGAGCCTCTTTTATTAAAAGCATTAATGTTTATGTAATATTTTTCGTTGGATTGGACGAAGCACATGGTATGTACAAACTCTCGTGCCCGTGTGGCGTTCCCGTGATATTAATAGATGTGTGAACAATTTTTTTATACAAGATGTTAATGGATCCAATAAAATGCACATAGATTCATAGAAATTATTAGACATTCCAAAGAGAAATATATATAATAGATTCATGAAGAGCACCTAGATTTTTGTCACAAAAAAAAAAGAAGAGCACCTAGATTAAATTATTTTAATAATACATGTTTATATTTTTATTATATTATTATTGTTAAGGAATTTGGTTGAGTTTTAACTCATCCTATAAAAATAACATGTATGATGAGGATGGTCTCCACTGTATAAGTACATTATATATTTGGAACATATATTGCCTAATGTGAAAATAATCATTCTTTAGTTATTTTATTCCTTTCTACCAGAAGGAGAAAAAGAACCAAAAACCATTAAAGTTAGTTTTTTATTCCTTTCTTTAATGAATAAATAAAAAAGATAAACTCAAATTTCTGTCGAAATTAAAAAAGGAAAAAAAAAACTAAAAGTGAGTTTTAGATCAACTTCGAAGTTTACCCCCAAAACATTTTGTGCAGAGGGAGTTCAGTATTTCTACGAAAAATGGCATAATCTCATAGGCAAAGAAGTTAAATGAACCATCCGGTTCAACCAAACCAGTTCGTACAAAAAACCGATTCAGAAAAACAAGAAACAAAAAATCATAAAAACGATTCAAGAGTTAAGATACGTACCCCACAACCGGTATCAATAGCGGTTCTGATAGACCCATCTTTAAGATTGATAAACTTCCCAACATCATCAATGTACGCGCTCGCGCCACGTGGAAACATGGTTCCTCCACCGGGGAACTTGAACCGGGTCCCTTCGAACCGGATCCAATTCTGTTTCTTCTTCTCCACAGTCAACTCCTTATGCGGTACGTTTGCATACCAAGCCGAGTCACGGCTCTCCGGCCACCGTAACGGTAACCGGTAACCAAACGGCGCAGGAATCCTACACCGGAGAGTCTCCTCCGGTAACGGACAGTGTCTCTCCCGGTAGATAAGCTTGTTTCTAGGAAAGCTCAAGGACCGTTTCTGATCCTCGCAGGGAGTGTATTCGTAGAGAGAGGAATCACAGGGAGGGAGGTGAGATACACGCGCAGTGGTTGGAGGAGGATCAGGGAGGTGGTGACTGGCGGTGAAGTCTAGCTTGACGAATGATGATGGTGATGGTGATAGTGATAATTTGGCATCGGTGGTGTTACTGTTGTCGTGCTGAAAACATGTGGAAGAAGCTCCGGCGGAGGAAGTGGTGGTGGTGGTGGAGTAACCTGTGGCGGAGATGACGGTGGTGGAAGGATAATGATGCCATAGACCAAAGAGATAAAAGAAGGTGCAAAGAAAAGATGCAAAGGTGATAAAATAAAGATTGGTCAACAATATATTTGACTTTTTGGATTTGATATTGTGAAGTAGTTTTGCAAAGTTAATATTCATAATATTAACCATTTTTTTTCTTCTTGTTCAGTTCTTAAAGTTCATAAGAGTGAGTGATAGAGAGAAAAAGGTTGAAGTTGAAGAGTTTAAGAGATGAGTTGAGTTTGAAGATTGGGTGTCAGTGGTGGTTGGTTGTTTATTGCATAGTCATTTGAATAAATGGACTGCTGTCTGTGTTTCTGCTTGTCTTTTCTTTTTGGATAGAGTGTGTGTGCAATAGATATTACTATTTTTGTAGATTGTGTATTGTATGGTGATGGGAAAAGCAAAATATCTTCTACCTTCATGAAGGTACTCTTTTTATCACGTTGCTTTTGTCTTTTTGTAAATTATTCTAAAAAGTATCTTATTTCATATGGCTTTAATATAAAGAACTTATGACTTAAAATACATGGTTAGAGAATCAAATGAATGAATTGTGTAATTAATCTTTTTTTTGAAGAGAGGTGTTCAAATTAAAACATATTTAATCAACTTTATATATATATATATATATATATATATATATATATATATATATATATATATATATATATATATATATATATATATATATATATATATATATATATATATATATATATATATATATATATATATATATATATATATATATATATATATATATATATATATATATATTGCTGTAAAACACATTTGGATAATCTTTCAGAAGTCAATCCAGTGAGGTTGTAATTGTTTAGTATATTTGTGTTTTGTATCTTGCTAATACGAGATGTATGCTTACCTTTTCTTCAAGGGAGGATTTCCTTTTTATACTCTAGTCTTCGTGACCTACTCTCTTTTGAGAGGTGGCTTCTCACATCCCCTCATAAATGACGAAGTCTTAACCCCGCCAGCATAATAATGAGCATAACTTCTCATGTAATGTTCATGCGGCCCTTTAGATTTCTGTAACAGTCGAATCAAGATGATAACTCGACCATCTGGCCTGGCGCGTCCTCAACTCCTCCGACTTATGCGTCTTGTCCTCCGGGTAG